TTTATAAGAATAACGAAAATTATTTTACGTGGATAACATACTACATGTTTCAACAGAACATTGGTCTGTCTTCTTCAGTATGATATATAGCTAAGAATGCAGGGTTTATATGCAAAAATCAATATATACATAGACAAAAGAGCTTATGGTATACAAAAATGTTGTCACATGAAAGCATAAAATTTAGAACAGTTTATGACATGTCATATGACAACATTTCTACATACCATAAACTCTTTTCTCTATGTATATATATTGCTACGACAGCGGAAGTCACGTGACGCTGGCAACACGTCATGAGTTTCTAGAAGGATCAGGGAACCTCACGAATATCCCAGTATTTGCTAGACGCCCTATATTTTAGTATATAAGCCCGGCAAATAAAGAAGAGATAATAATTGCAGATAGAGAGATATAGAGACAGATAATTGAGTCAAGTGAGCGGTAGTGACCGTTAGTAAAGTGCGTGAATCGTTGTGAATTATAGTTTGTGTTTAAGTTAAAGTGACCGTCAAAATTCTGTTTATTGCAAAGATGTATTGAGAAAGAATAAACTAATTTTATTTAAGAAAGAACTTGTATCGCTGAAGTTCTTCAGAAAGAATTTTTACGGGAAATTAACAAACAAACAGAGACGTAACAATATTGATCTTGTATATAAGCACTGTTAGTTGTATTTCATACCTGAAAAAGACAGACCAATGCTCTGTTGAAACATGTAATATGTTCGCTACGTAAAATAATTTTCATTATGTTTATAGATCGTTATTTCTTAATATACTATTCTATTTTCCATTTCAATTTAACAGTGTTTGGTCGTGGCCATGATGAATACTTTATGCCATCCACATCCGTGTATGGAAGAGCTATCATGATTATTGTTTTTTTTATTAAATGGTACACCCTGGTCGTGGGTCTGATATCTAACAGTGTAACATTATGCGTTTTAAAAACAAGTAACAAACATGTAAGCTAACTATTTATTCATTTATTCTAGCATTGTTTGTTTGTAATTAAGCACAAAGCTACACAATGGGCTATGTTTGCTCTGCCCACCACGGGTATCGAAACCCGGTTTCTAGCTTTGTAAGTCCGCGGACGTACTGATGTGCCACTGGGGGGCGTTATATAGTAGAATTCTCGAATAACGCATACGTTTTTTTTTTCAGATGTGAAGATGGCGGTCGATTAAGAAAAGAGAGTACAGCTTATCATATGTAGGTTAAAATAATTTTAAATTGAGAGATAATTAAAAGGACTATGTCATTGTGTTTATCCATAATTATCTTAAACTCAGTATGTAGGATTAAAGTTTTTCAATTTAAAGATAAGATTTCAAAATTATGAAACTCTTAAGGTCATTTATTTGTATGAATGCTCGAGATGTAAAGTTAGGTGTATTGTATCTATGGTAAGAGCCTTAGGGGCTAGAATTAACGAATGTTCAAGTTCGACATAAAAAAACCTTCAACTATAAAATTATATGCTTTAAAATAACTGTTATTTACCACCAGAGCACACCCATGCTACGATTATTAGTAGAACTAATGACATGAAACACAATCGTATTAAATATAGTTTATTTATAAGTAGGTTGAAACAGAAATTTAATGAAATAAGTAGCGCTACTGAATTGCTTTTAGTAGTAAGGACGTCATTTCCAGTTTGTTAAGCACTTAAGTTGACATTGTGGTATTTGTTTGTTTTAATCCAAAATACACAATAGGCTATCTGAGCTATGTCCACCACGGGGAATCGAACCACAGATTTTAGCCTTGTGAATCCTTAAACTTATCGCTGACTTACTGAAGGACGTTATGTCGACATTTTATGCATAGAAATACTGATAAAATAATACTTGTTTTGTTGAATAGAATTTTCTTGTAATTTTGTAATACGATTGGCATATTTTTTGCATAGAAGAGAAGGCCTGTTTGCGCAAACAAACAAAGCTCCCGCAAGTAGCGCTAAATGATTTATAACGTTGAATTACGTATTTTACAACTTTTTGTCTTATTATTTAAATATTTTATATTGTAATTTACGACACTTTATGATCGTAATTTAGTACGAACAACTGCATATTGCGTGATTTAAATATAAATGTATAGATATGCATTCTAGTATTAGATTGAGCAGTTTTTAATAATAGTAACATAAAACAAACGTTTAATTTGATTTGAAACTAAGGGGATTATATTATTATGGAATACTTTTTTCCCGCATTTATTTAATTGTCATAACACTAGAGGGCACCACTTTATACTACTATTGCTATTATTTTCATTAACTTTAGATTAGAGCAAGCTACATACATAGATGAAAACTAAAAATTAGCCCAGTAATTAATATAACGCTCTAATTAGAAATATATAATATCATAAAGCCAAACGTATGATGATTACAATGCATTCTGTTTGTTTGTAGTTAAGCACAAAGCTACACAAGGGATTATCTGTGCTGTGCCCATCAGGGGTATAAAAACTCGGTTTTTAGCGTTATGAGTCTTCAGACTTACCTCTGAGCCACTGGTGTGTGTGTGTGGAGGGGACAATCAGAATGTAATGATTCATCTGTTGGGTATACTGGCTGTTAATTACTAATAAAACATACCAATTGTAAAGTTGGCGCATTGGCTTGCGAAGTTAGAAATATTTTGATGAAATAAAAATTGAGACAGGAGGTTTCAAAGCTGCGTTTTTGCTTTATCCATCTCAGGTACTGTGGGTGCGTTAAGCTAATGAACACCTCAAGCACGCTTTCTATGAAAAGAACATTTAACGGACTTCTCAGTTGTGCTCAATACAAGCACTCGTGAGAACAACCAAGCAATATGTTCTAAGTATGCAAATCAAGATGGTAGACTCAAGAGAAATCGTTATATTTGCTAGTAGCATCAAAACCTTTATATGTTTGTTTGTTTTTTCAACTGAAGAAGAAGTGATAAGACTCAGTAAAGATTATTTATACGTGAAATATCTGCCTTATACATATGTGAAATCATGCGTGTAACTTTTTTCTTTCAGTTAAGTTATATTACGACCACTTGTGAAGTTTTCCTGTGAATTTAAAGTTAATCGTCAGTACATAAAGTTTATAGACTACATACACCAATATTTACATCATTATCCTCACTATAGTGATTAATTTAATCAGTATTCGTAACAAATATAGGCTCGGGCTGGCCCTTTGGTAAAACTCTGGATTTCGAAGGTGGTGAGCCGGGTTTGAATTCTGTGCGAAACTACTAAATATTCCGCGCACTTTAAGTTGTGGGTACGTTATAAAAGTGACAGTTTGACCCTTAGCATAGATAGAGTGCTGCTGACTGACTGTCTTCCCTCTGGTCTAAGTAGTTCAAAATTAGTGACGGCGGCAGATAACCTTAATATCTTTACCATAAATACAAAATCCATAACAAATGGATCGTTAAGTTACAAAAGTACCGCTCTCTTTACGTAGTGAAACTTCTCACTGCAAGCTGGATAACTTAGCAGGCAGTGGCATTCGAATTATTAAGCTGTACCCATATTCGTTACATATTGACTTCCCTCCTATCCTTGAAATACTTGAAAAACATATCTCTACTCCTACACTTTCACGAATTTTTCTCCTTAAAAACTACTCCATTTTCCTTAATTTCAAGGATTTCTTGTTTGCGATATAACCCTTATTACAGATGGATATATTTTACAATATTTATTTATATGGTACACTAGGTTAACAACAATCTTGATATACATTGTATGTTCACATATTAATGTAAAATTCATAAAAGACGCCAAAGATATCTATTGACCTATTTATTATATACTTTCATATACAACGACCTTCTTGACCCTGTTTGTTTGCTTTTTCATTTTGTACAAGGAAGGCTTGATTTTGGATCATTTGTTAGTTGAACAGAAAAAAAAAAAGACGCGCCTCACTACCTAAAAACACGCCCTTCATTTTGAATTCACGGATTTTTACGAGAGATTTGTTTTCAAATTCGCGATGCCAACTTGTATTGAAAACATACACCTTTTCTTGCGTTTTTCGTAACGAGCAGGCATAACACTTTATAGTTAAGAGTGACACTGCCAGTGCTAATAACTTAATACATTCCGTGTTAGGAATACCACAAGTGTCAACTTTCATTTCATAGGTTATGTAGCGAATTTTATAGCTCAAGAATCCTGTCCAATTTTGTCCTTAACCTATAAGGTGAATATTTATGTTTACAGCATTCAAGACGCGACTACAGCATATTCTCATCCATTTATTTGTTGCATATGAGACTTTGATACTTACATCAATTTTTTTTTTAAATGTGGCATCATTTTCAGTTTATAAATATAAGGACTCTGCTGCTAAAAATCTATATGTCTAAAATTTTGTAAATGTGAAATCTAAAACAAACTCAGCTGGATTATATTTCATGTTAATTATTAAAGCAATAGGAAATGTTCACAAAGTCCTCAATCTCTATACTTAAAGAAAGCTTTTCATCCTAATATTTAAATCACAATCTTTACAATTTTAAAAAGGATATAGCTTCAAAAAAGTAATCTGTAAACACGTGCATCTTACAAGAAATTCGGGATCAAATTTCACCACATAAGCAGCTTGTTGGAACGAACGTCCCTTTATATGTGTTAAAACTAATAACGGAGCTTTAGCGTCAAAGTTCAAAAAGTGTGAATTCTAACATAATTTTCTTAACTCTTATAATGAATAAGGCTCTAAGAGTTACGTATTGGATTTAAACTATACTGATGTAAACATTTAAGTATATATTGTACAGTGTCTATATATTTTAATTTTTAAGCATATTATTTGTTGTTGATTTTTCAGATCATAAAATATAAGATAATGATATAAATCTAAAACAATTACTTAAAATACAGGAGCACCATAATCATTATGAGAAGCACCAAGTGAAATAGCTTTGTAGTTAACTTTAGTGACACCTAGTGACGTAAAAATTGCAGAACTGAGAATGCAGCGTTACACAAAATATGCGGTAGTTTAGCAGAACGCGATTACATACCAAAATGGCTGCTAGCGGTACCTCAGACGATCGTGCAGTGCATGAACAGTTCAACGACGGATCTTGTCCTGCAGCGTCAACATCGTTCTTTTCTTTGAATATGTCGTTTTTCAACTTCATAGGGATTGTAGTGGTAGTTTATATTTTGCTAAAATTGTTATTGTCCATTTGGAGAGGAATATACACATGTTTCCTTGGATCGGTACTTAGTCACACTGTAGACTGGAGTAAACTCGGTCGTTGGGCGGGTGAGTTATACCGATGTATAATATTATTATTGCTAACTAATATTTGTACTACAGTTAAGATGAGACATTGAAACTATTTGAATTTGAACTTCGCGTGTTACGGTAGAAACCAAATATTCTGATAGTTACCTCGATTGTTGAAATATATCTGTGTCATATTTTACGAAATAATAATGAAATGATTATTACATTGTATGTAAAAGTTAAACTTCATTAAATTTATACACAAATATGCTTTGCGTTATTATTTCTTCATGTTCTTGTAATATACTATAGTCAAATTAGTGTTCAATTGAATATAAAATTATCATCAGCACTGTTAATTTGGTCATTAAAATCATATATACATTAGTAATAATACTTAAGTGATGATTATAATATTTCTATATCTTGTTAGTTACGCATATTTTGTGTAAATTAAGTTTTCCTGCTTGTATTGTTTGCTTTGGTTTATTCAAAAGTCTAAAGTACAATACCGACAGTAGCGTGTAAATAACCGTTTCAATGTAGAAATATTGATGGCTTAATGTTTTTCAGAATATGAAGCATTTTTGAAAAAAAATGCTGATTAAACCACAAATTTGTACAAGCTTAAGCAGAGATCTGTGAGAATCAAGTTTAGATGCTTAGAGACCGGGTTTTCAATATATTTTTCTTCATGAACATTCTTTACAGAATGATTTTTCTTGAAAATAAATAATAAACCAGGAATAGAATGCGTCATTGTAAAATATATAAATTTGTTAATAAATTCTGAATCTGAAAAATTGAGAAACTTCATATTCACCCAGAAAGAAAAGAGAGGAAAGGACTGACAGTCATTCACATGATTATAGACTTGATTTTTCAAAATATATTTAATTAATTGAAAGACTAACTAGTCTGCTATATTTCTCGATCACTATTATTGTTTTATAGGAATAAGCTCCTACTGGGTAGTATGGTCTACTGCATATTACTACTTATGGCTAGTATTTTACTGCGTGGGTAAATTGTCAAGTGTATTCAAAGTTTTATTTTAGGCTTATATTTATTTTTGCTACACCTTACCTAGGAAGAAAAAACGTTGTCTACAGCGGAAGCTACTGACCTACACTGGCCTGGGCAATAGGCCTTCAAGATTTAATAACGTAATATAACAAAAACTGAATATTGTATCGAAAAATGTATACATGTATAAGATAAAGTATTGTATAAAATGAAATTTATTATACACCAAAGCGTTTTTAAGAAGTTGCGATAAAGTACGATTTGATGAATGAATGAAGGTTCTGTTGTAAGCCGATATTTGTGTATTGTCTCACAATGTTTTTCATGTAGTAACTAACGTACTGGTTGTATTTATCTATATAAATATAATAGTACTGTCTGTTGTATGTCCATGTAATTACTTCGCAGAGTTGTGGATGGACCTTCACCAGAATTGGTATGGCGGCTTATTAGGTCCATGCGGGGGTACTTACAAATTTTCAGTTTTGCTTTTTGCTGTTTTATGGGCGTTTTTGTGTTCCTTATCACTACTTTGCCTCCCATTGATGGATCTCCACCAAATTTGGCATGAAGGTTTGTTGGGTTCATGCGGAAATACATACAAAGTTGTGGTTTCACATTTTGTGTTTTGCAGTTTTTATGGGCGTTTTTTTACAATAACATACAAGGGAACCAACTTTTCATGTCCTAAGATAACCTTTCATTAATCATGAATTTACTTTTTTTTTTGTATCGTAAGAAAATTCGGTAGTTACAGATCTAGGCCGTATGGTAAGAACATTTTTAACGAATATTATGCTTCGCCATAATAGCTTGGAAAAGCTGTTCATACCATTACCATTTTTTTTAAATGGCTTATATAAATAATGTTCCGACCAGTACTGTGTTTGTGGTGTCCCACCCTACCTGAAAATCTCTGGAGTGAGGGAAACGCATCGTCGGCAATGGATAAGGAGAACGTGGTGTGGTTGGAATTACCATTATTATACATTTTTTCTAATTCTTCAACATCTCTAAGGGACTATATAAATAATGCAGTGTTATATAATATAATAGGCCTAATGACAAGTACAATTAAAGAGAAACATGCAAGGCTGTGTGGTATGAAAAAGAGTATCAGAGTATCTCTGAGAGAAAGAACGTTTGGTAAAAACACTTACAACGAACACGTACAGGTCATATCGTGGGAAACTTAACCGGTAAAAGAAAACAGCAACAACAAAAAACACCTCTCAATGAGTAGAAATATATGCCGTGTTATAACCTGTAAGAAAACTGTATGAGTAATAGAAGTAGGCCTGTCGTAATTTGAAGAAAATTCGACAAATAAAGCTAGGTCGATTAATGGAGTTAAACCATATTGAAAGATAATTCTCAGGGAGTAACTGATCTAGGTTGTATCGTTAAAAACTCTCGGTGGTAATAGAGTCAGACTGATTGCTCTAAACTCAACAAGCAACAGAGGTAGTGGTAACACATCTAGTGCGTAGCGTAAGAACACTAAAAAAGAAACATGGCTAGGCATTATTGTACTTAACAAATATGAAAACTAGGTCTTGTCGTAAGAAAACTCGTCGAGTAGAGCTAGGCCGTATCTTAAAAAGAAAAACTAAGTTAATATAATTAGGTTAAATCGAAAGAAGATTTTGTGATAACAGAGATATGACATAACGTAAGAACACTGGATGATGGTTGTGGCTGAACCATACCATATTCTAATAATGAAAAAGTTAGACATGTCTAAGAAAACTCAAAACTCGACGATTAATAGACTTGTTTATATCGAAAGAAAACTCCCAGTGATGATAGATTAAGGTCGCTTATGGGTTAACTTCCAGCATTTGGTTGAGCTAGGTCATCTGTAACAAACGGCAACATAAAAAAACAGAGCTAAAAAACTCGTAGTGGTAAGATATTTAAATTGCATCGTAATTTAGATTGAAAGAAATACGTTTAAAATGATAAAGGATTGAATTAAAGTGAATTAAATGTATTAATGTCAGGATCAAATTAAACCACTCTCTGAAACAGCCAATCCACCTGTTCCTATTAATTTATTCTGAGTTTGTGTGAAGGCGTTAGAAAATCAGAAGTATCTTTTCACTTTCTATGCCACATGACTTTTTTTTGTTATGACCCCACCCTTCTCCAGTGGCACATCAGTAAGTCTATGGATTTATATAACACTAAAAGTCTGGCTTCGATACCCGTGATGGGCACAGCACAGTTAGCCAGTTATGTAGCTTTGTACTGAATTACAAAAAAGTTAATTATTATTATTATAGATATCTATAATATGAATTAGATAAAAAGATCTCTAAAAATGCAAAATTCAAATTTATAATGGATCGGTTTCTTTTGACTCCCCTCATTTTTTGTAATTTTTTAAGTTCACGTTTTATTCACATTTTTTATTTTTGTGTAACTTTTAATTTTTTTTCACGAATATTATTAATTTACGAGCTACTTGTTTTATAGTGCTGATCTACGTATTTAGCTTAATTTAGATCAGAAATTCTTATTAATTGCATAAATGAACGAAGTCTCCCACTTACAACTTTTCCCGTCCTTTTTTCGTATAAAACAAAGCCTTATGAGGTATAATATATGTTTGTAATTAAGCACAGGGCTACACAATGGGCTCTCTGTGCTCTGTCCACCACGGGTATCGAAACCCGGATTCTAGCGTTGTAAGTCCGCAAACATACCGCTGTGCCACTGGGTGGCTAGGAGCTCGAATTTCTTCAGTAATAGAAAAAGAAAGTAGTATCCGTTACTGTACAGTTTGTTTAGCGAAAGGCTGGCTTATACAATGGACTATGTACGCTTTGTCCACTGGTAGGAGGGGGGAATCTAACCCCCCGATTTTAGAGTCGTAATCGGTAAAGCTATAGGTGACGAGCCACGTTACACTGTATACAAATATTTGTCGTGGAAGAAAATGCAATGGCTTTATATGCATATGTGTTTTCAAAATAGATCTGAACAGTGTGCAATAGTAAGCGCTGTCAGGCATATTATTATCTGCACTATTGTTTTGGAATTTTTTTTCTATTTGCTTTTAAACAGGATGTCCTAGAAAACACGGAATCCGCATAACCAAACATGTTTACTAGGTCGCTCTTGATTTACTTTGACAGCTGACGAGGGTAATGACCTTATTTTTTAAACCCGTGGGGCTGATGGTTTATGTTGTGTAACAAGGTTATGTCTGCAAAGTATACGTGTGTATTATCAAACCCCAGCACAGTGTATGTATGTATATATGTGAAAGTTCATTAAGCACGTGAGATAACGCGGAACTAAAACGAATATTTCGGAACATTGATTTGTTATTTGTTTTTACACTCTGTATATCAGCTCTTCAGAATCGCTTAATGTACTCCGAGTTATATTTTGTGCATTTATTTCTAGAACACTAGTTAGTTTTTACCACACTAAAAATAAAAACTTAGCTTGGCTTGCGTCATCTCACCTAGTTGCTCGAGGGCTATCTGCGGTAGCCACCCGTAATTTTCATGTGGTAGACTAAAGGAAAGGTAGCTAGTCAATACCGTCCGCCACCAAATTGTGGGCTACTCTAATCGAATAGTGGGATTTGACCGTCACTCTTATAACCGTGCTCTAAAGTGTGGACCACGATTTAAATTATTTTGGCGGTAACAGTTCGCGTGCCACACAACCTCAGATCCACATTCCGACACGCTAACCAATGGGTCGCTTTCGGCCTCTCACATCTTTTAAAACTACTTGCCACTCATTTCTCAAAATTATTGCTAATTGCAGGACTTTTCAGTTTTCCTACTACCCATGTTTATTATTAGTTTTGTTTACTTTTTTTTTATTCCTGTAAACTCCCAGTGGAGCATAGGGCCGCGACTACAACTCGCCAACGGAAGTTGTTATTGCAGGTACTTGTGGCAGGTTGGGTTTTACGGGGTGTAGTTGCTAGCCCCGCGCACAACCCTCCTCCTTTCTCATCCTGGAC